ATAGTACTAGTACTTATTTATTCATTTTTTAGTATGACCCGACTCCATATATTGACGGATTCCAGTACTTCTTTCATTCGATTCGTTTTCTTCGAACACGTCATCCACTAAGGTTTAGAATCCGCCCCTGTAATAGACTGCCAATTGAAGATTTTTTGTTCCCTATGAATACCATTGAGTGACAGTAGAGTTGATTCTCTCTTGAATCCAAGGACACCTGTGTTAATGAATTTCCAGGTCTTCGTCATAGCAGTGAACATCGGGCGGACTTTTCTCAGACAAGTCTGCCACTAACTTGAAAGTTAGCAGGCATGCGTAGTACAGTGATTAGAGGTGCCCTGTAATACACACGTGGTCCTTGGTTCGATCACGCGCACATGGTTCACAAAATATTCCATCGCTCCATGGTGGGCAAACTAGTATCAGATTTCTCTGACATGATGGCAGCACTGACTCGATACATGGGCACGCTATCACAAGTCATTTCTTAAGCCAAACATGCATTCAGTCACATCTAACGATACTCACTGAAGCCGAATGCCTAGCACATGCCTAAGAGATTGATCACTACCAAGAGCTTTATCCTTTGTCCTTTTATTAAGGTTAGCAGATGGTCTACAATCAGGAAATAGCATTTCTGTCAAAGTCATTAAAGTAGAAAAAAGTGGAGCATCTCGTCAAATGGTCAATGCATTAAGTAATTTTCTGGAATCTGGTAATGGTTAGTTAATGTTTAGTATGAGATGAATGAAATAGAAAACTAAAACTAGCAGCATTTTGATAATTAAAATGTGGCGGAAACTAGAAAACAAAACAAACCTTTTTCAATATATTGCCTTTTGTCGAACAAATTATTGTCAAGAACTGAAATGGAGACAGATAGGATTCTGTACTGCTGAATGCCTAAAGTACTGAAGTACAGTACCAATCGATAAAATCGATAAATATTACCAAAGTTAGGAGAGCGATTAACCACGGGTAATGTATTGAGAAAGTGCGCAGCACGATATGTTGCCACATTTTTGAACTGTCTAGCTAAAAATGAGACAATCACATTTCAAGTCTCGTTTGATATCACTGTTTGTGATGACCTGATTGCATTGTTTGCGCAGAGAGTTCTTGATCCAATTGAAATTCATCGCATGTTTACAATTGCTAGGAAAAAAACAATGCAGTTAGTGTGACAAGGCGAATACTTAGAATAAGGAAGTAGAACTAAGAAGAGTAGAACTAAACTTAAGAATCGTAGTAGGTGGAAGACACAGGCATCGAAGTGAATGTGTAGTATCCGGATGGCTACCGACACTGTTCCCATGTTTCATTCTTTTGGAAAATTTCTCCTTCTGTTAAGCAAATTATTAAATAATCCATGTGAATAGAAGAAGCATCATAAGAAGCATCGATTGTACCGCGACGGTAACCGTCGCGCTTATCACCTGTCAGTCAAATGAGGTTCACAGGCGATGAGACCTATAACTGACATCACCCCGAACAGAATGAAAACCGTTATCTATAAAATTAATTGTTTCAGAGAATGAGAGACGAGCGAAACGAAGGACTCTCTATCTCTGCATCATTGTGGTTGTATCACAATACCCTGCCGTGGGAAATTCTGATAGGCAATAAATAAAAAGTTGGCATTGTGATTTCGACTACAACCTCAGCTTAACGGGGTTCATTGCCGATTTAGGCTCCTCGGATCAATCCTGTTGACAGGCGATTGATGATAACACTGATCGATAGAACTAGCTGAAAGACAGGCGAAACGAAAGACCCGCATGATGTATTGCTGAACGCGTTAACCCCCCGAAAAGGGTAATATCGCGTTTGTTCCTCACCGCAGACACCTGCGGTCCGGAGTCTTGCAAATATCTCAGCATCATTGTTAGAAAACAAAACAAACCTTTTTGAATATATTGCCTTTTGTCGAACAAAATCGTTTCACTTCGATTTTTCTCATGTACGCTTCAGAACAACTGGCAGCCAACTAGCAGAAATTTGTCGTGAACGTAACGTGAACTACCGTGTTTAAAAGATGAGGAGAATATTTACATAATGCTTTCAAGACAAAAGGATAAAAACAGATAAAGCTCTCGACGTTGATCAATGCCTGAGGAATGCGCCATGCATTCGACTTCACTGAGCATTGTTTGGAGGTGATCGAATACACATAGGGCGTTTACAATGACTCGCGTTGGCCTACCGATGTGTCAGTGCCGTTGTCCTCCCAGACATCACACGCAGCAATTTGCTCAACCCAGAGGCATGGAGAGCTCGGTGAGCTCGAGGTGTGCGGTCGAACCTATGTGTATTGCAGGACACCTCCAGTGCGCTACAAGCATTGAAGCTTCCAATAGGTTAGGAAATATTCGAACGTCGTTGATGAGATCGGGGACGTTGAATCGAGAGCCCTTATCAGATACATAAACGACAGAGTTCCCAAACTTGATGAAACATTTCAATACTGCAACTGCATACCTATAATTTATCAGCTGAATGAATTTATCAGCATATTTGCGAAAAATCATGTATGTTATAGTACATTTTCCATCTAACTACTGATTTATTGCTAAATGGTGTGCTAAGACGGTCTTGTTTTCACACTACAGGTAGCCTGTGAATCGAGTGAAGTTCACCAGTTTGCGAATAGGTGTTTACCCTTGGCATTAATTTAGGCTTAGCTGGGCCTGACGATGGAAGTTTTGGACTACACACTCGGTTCTTGAGGAGAGATGAATCTACGCTGTAGATTTCAACGTCGCAATTTTACACTCATCTACACCCATTCGATTGTGCGCTAAGGCATTTGCGAATAGTACAATGCAAACAGATTAGTTCATTCTTCGGTGGTGTCTTTTTTGTTGGAAATTACTGATGTTGACTTCCGTCGTCGACCAGTGAACGAATTGTCATGTCAGCATCTTAACAGTTCTGCTATGTATACATTTTCAAACATTTTCTTTTTATAATTTTTCCCACTTCTGTTCAGCAAACACGAAGTGCTACTTTATTTCTTTATTTACTAACAAGCTAACGTTTCGGCGGATTTCGCCTTCCTCAGAGCCTGGAAAGGTCAAGTTGACAGCAATCCACTCCGCCAAACACCTCCATGACCAAACAGAGAAAACGCTAAACCAAAATTTCAATCACATTGAACACAGAGTCTTTGCACACTCACCGCTTTCTATGAGCCTTCCACTGAGTATGTCGTGTGAAGACCGACCGCACAGAATTCACATGGAAGCATAATGTGCCCCTCCCATCAGAATAACAGGTTTATATACTGTCCAATATCACGCGTGATAACAAGGCATTCCTCCCTGCGGTTCATTTTCGGTTTCTTGGAATTAATCCAGAATGTCTCTAGAGTTTTGCGCGCTTGTGTTCTCGATTGTTGCGCGAGGATCGTAACCCTTACTTCAAAATCTTCTCCGTTATGTCTCTGCGTCCTCTGCGTGCCTAGTGGAGTACTTAGCTTACGTTTGCCGACTAGGCGTTCTTTTATACGTACGCAGAGTGTTTCGCCAACGTATTCGTCCTCGCACGCTTTACAAGAGATCAGATAGACTGTACCCGAACTCATGTAGTCACCGTCTCTACCATTGGAGCAAATTATACAATTTTGCGTTGCACATAGACAGTCGTATAGGCGGTTACGAACTAGCTGGCGCCTTAGATTACTCGGTGGTATTTCCATTGTCGTTACCGAATTCTCTAGACCGGCCCTTCTTAAACAGCGTTTTATAGCTGCACTTACTTCATTTGAAATGAAGGGCAGTATAAACGGGACCTTGTTGTCGCTAGAGTTATCGTTGGGGTATTCTACACTTACCTCGAGCTACAGTTTCGTAGCCATTAAAAATGGCTATTTGTCGCGCCAAGTTCTGGGACTCCTCTCTCTGCTGTATTCCTGTACACACGCTGGTAGCTGTTCGATACATGTTTCTCACAAGCGCCCTTTTCGTGTGAGAGGGGTGAGAGGAGAGGTATTTTCAACATATTTTGTTTCTACTTTTTCAAAATTTCTTTTTGTTTTGCTGGTGAAATTGAGCAAATTTGACTAAATATAACTGAAAATATGTTGGAAAGTTACCATAAGAGCATAGGTTTACGACGATAGTCTGTCTCTACTTAATCCCTGTAGCGCAGTGGTTAACTATGTCATGCAAAACACGCATTGTCTCTCATTCGCTCGACGACGGGACGCTCTGCGTACCGCAAACCTTCCGTCCCTTCGTGCGCGGTAAATTGATACTACGCTTGTCCTATGAGATAAAAACACTCAGCGATGCTGAACTATTCGCAAAACCTGGACCCCAGGCCAGTTCAAACCACGACTTCCCTTTCCGTGGTCTCCCGCGTTACACACTCTTCCGCGGAGCCCTTGCTCTGCATTTCTCCGTGACGCAGTGTGTAACACGCGAGTCCAGGGAACGGGAAATAGTGGCTTGGGGCCTAAGTCTTGCGAATACTTCAGCATCATTATGGTTGATTTCGCATATTACGCTGCCGTGAAAATTGCAGTAGGCAGTAAATGAAAAAGTAAACATTAAAAACAGTCAATTTAAACATTGGTAGCCCACCGTAAATCATTATATTGGTCAAATATGCTTCCAAGCAAGAAGGAAGGGTTCAATTCCTTCCAATTTTACGTGTTGCTTCGGTTCCTGCTTGAAGATTTTCATTTCATCTTGAACGTCGTAGAATGCTGGTCGAGCAATTTTACCTGAAGTCCTGACATAGCCGGGCTGGAGCATTCCCAATTGGATTGCAGAGAGTGGCTTTTCTCCAGACAAGTCTGGTACGAATTTTCCGATCTCGGAGTGATGAGAAGCTTGGTTGGCCCGGAAGTGAATCAAATTAGTACCATGCTGGTGATGACGGGCATCACTACGTAGACACACATACTAAGCACATGTTTGTACACACCGATGTGTTATCTGTAATCATCAAAATATAGTAAAACGTAAATGACTTCTATGTGGAGCTCATTTTAACATATGCCTGAATGGACGATGGGTGTATCACAGGGTCGTCAGAAAACCATTACAATAGTGGCGATTGGAGTCAGTCTTATGGCTTGCGTGTTTGCATATGTCTACTATATAAGTAAAAAAGTGAGTTTTATGGAACTGAGCATTACGTTTGCCTACAAAGCGGATACTGTAAGGTAAATATATGGTTGCCGATATGCCGACCCATTCCCGCATTCCGAGTTTCTAATGTGGAACTGAATGTCTCTGCGCCCTAGCCTTGTAAAGCAAAACGTTGACGATCACCCGATAGGAGCTTCGTATGTGAAATAGAGAAAATATGAACTTTTCTATTTCTTCAGTCCTATAAGAGTGAACGTACTGCTTATCGCAAAGAATTATCAATGGAAGCAAAGATTGGATCGGGTACTTTTGGGTACTGCGGAGATTTTGATGGACATCAAGAAGTGCGTCACTTTAATGGTTGAGATGATGGTAAAATGAGGCCTCGTCTCGTACAATACTGATGGTTTGTTCGAAATCTCTGAAATTTTACATCACAGACATCAATGTGGAAGAAGCTCTATTCAACCAGCCTAGTGTCTTTTAGATGATGCATTCAAGATGAACCTAGTGTCAACAGGCTGGAGGAAGTATCCTTCTTACATCACTCTCACCTCTGTGATTTATAATCAGTGTAATCATCGAATAACTCGAGCGAGTACCAGTAACCACTGCCAGCGGGCAAAGTCTTCTCCGGTTCTTGTAGCAGAGCTGCTGTACGTGTGCTGTTCGCCCTAGGAAAACGAAGTGCGCCATATTTTTGGTATGTAGTCGTTCATTTCTACTGTTTTCGACTATGAGCTCTCTAAGGGTAGCTCGTTCGGCTCTACTGTAGCACAGAGAGGCTTTTTGTTTTGGTCTGCTGATGGCTGTAGAAGTCCTTCACAGCTTAAGTAACACTGTAGGGAATTAAACCGACCACTGTATTTCGCATTTCACTGATTAGTACCCTTAGTCACGATGAGCCGGTAAATTGTTGAGTAGACTGAATTCACATATCACACTCTTTCATTTCTACGGAACAGGTTAATGTTTTAACAGATCAGTAGTAACTCTAAACTTTCGGAGGTGTCACGTGATATTTTCTTATTTCTAAGTAACACACCAATGGCAATTTGATAGCACGAAGAACTTCATGAGCCATAAATGAGGATTCCGTAAAACTCTTAGATGAACTTTGTGTTTTCGTCAGAAATTTTGCACAATGAAAGGAACTGTTTAGGTTGTAATACTTCAGAGATAGCCATAAAACCATAGCTTTCATAAGAATTAGGTATGAATTGAGCAATTTGGGAGACTGTAGAAATATTTAGCATCGATCCCATTCAAGTTTTGTACTGCACAAACCATTCCGAAGATTGTAAATATGTGTTAGTAGAAAAACCGATATCGCAGAGGCATCATGTGCAGAAATATCAAGAAGAATAGCTAACGATCAAAAATCAACGTTGTCCTTCACACTGAAACAACAGCAGTTCTTATTTTCTCAAAAATTTTTTGCTGTATATCTTACCGGACAAAATGTGGACGACTTCAAGTTGAAGACAAACGTGAGATGTTCAGCTTCAGTGGGATATGAGACTGTCTCACGCTCTCACCACTAGTACACTACATCAAAAAGGATAAAGGATGAAGCTCTCGGCGTTGATCAATCTCTGAGGGATGCGCCTTGCATTCGACCGCATTAAGCATCGTTGGAGGCGATTAAATGCATACTTGGTCTTTACAATGACTCGCGGTGGCCTGCCAATGTATCGAGCCACTGCTGCTATCCTCCCTAACAAGTCTGGTACTAATTTGCCGACTGCGGAGGGATGGTAGGCTTGGTGGGCCATGGGTGCTGGGATTGATTCTACGTTTGTGTCGCAGCGGCGCTCATCCTAACTCATCCCCTTTCTGTATTTTATGACGTGTAGAAAATAGTTCCCGAAGGCCTGCGGTGAATATAAGATTTGTGTATAAAAGTGGTTGTGTGCGCGAAAGGTGACCCAAAAGAATTTTGTGAGGCAAATGAACAACCAAAAACAAACTGCATCCAAGTCATTGCATATCACCGCAATGTTGCCGAGATATTTGCAAAACTTCGGACCTCAGGTGCTTGCGGTGGTGAACGAACGCTCTATTACCCCTTCCGGGAGTTAACACCACCACACCATGCGGGTCTTTCATTTCACTTGTCTCTCAGTTAGTTTTCTATCGATCAGTGCCGTCAATGCATATAGTTGCATATATGTTGTACACGAAGGTTGGAAAAGTGGGAAAGTACTCCATCCAAGTGCGGCTTTAAATGAATGTTTTATGAAGTTCTATAGATTTCTACGACGATTTCGCAAATATTCTTTATACTTTTAGAGAGGTACCGAAGCCGCCAGCACCGATAAAGGTGGAGGTGAAATTTTTGATGGAGTCGTTGGTAAACCAGTTCAATTGAAAAGTGAGTGAATTGAAAAATTACCAATGAGATAACGTTATAACGTATTCGACTTTAAGAGCGTTCTCGAACTAGGAGACTACAACGAGGATCTGCATCGTCATCGTCAACGTCTACTACGAACCAGTAACTAACCAAATGCTGAAGAATAAATAAAAATTCAAGTAATAAATATTGTAATGCATCTATCTCTCTGTCTATACACCTCTGTATCGATTTAAATTGCAAACAGGTACATCCTGAGATGACGGAATGGAAGTAAGCCGACAATAAGCTGGTTTACAGCGATGATTCAGCTAATTAGGTTACGTTGAGACCATTACGGAGCTGTGTTCACCAACCCCCATTTCTCAGAATTCTGTGTGGACTATAGTCGACCACTCATCCTGACCTTTGTTGTCTATGAAACAATTGATTTCATAAAAGACTATGCGACGAAGAACTTCAGATTTCAACGAAACAGCACAAAAAAACAGACAACGAAAACATGTCGAATTCAAGAAACGATTTAGCTTCTGGGAAATTCGTGAATTGGTAGAGTTTAAACTCTGTAATGGATTCTTAAGGGCGAGTGTGGAGCAGTGGTCGAAGGCACCCTGTAACCCACACATAGAATCGATCCACGCGCCCATGACCCACCAAGCTTTCCATCTCTCCATGACCGGCAAATTCGTATCAGACTTGTCTGGGAAGATAGCAGCTCTGGCTCGATACATCGGTAAGCCACAAAGGCCAGATATGCATTTGATCACCTCCAACAATACTTAAGGAAGTTGAATGAATGGCGCATCTCTCAGAAATTAATCAACTCCGAGAGCTTTATCCTTTTATCCTTTAATGGCTTCTTTCTTGATGATGGATGCCACATCCTAGGCGTAGCTAGTACGTCTAGGTAAATATGGACTACTTTCTGTACAGGGAGTAAAACGGGGTGGTAGATATTTTTGTTACTGTTGTTAGATTTTTTCATGTCTCCAAATGATCCACAGAAAGTTTTCTCTAAGAAATATTGCTTACGTATTTCTTCTTGTGGTGTCCGACTCAACTGTGAATAGCCGACTCGAATCGTTGTGATTCCGAAGAAGGCGAAGAAGTCGAAACGTTGGCGACAACGAAGTGTTTTTCAAAGCAATCTCATGTAAGTCATGAACACAACAAAAGATCAGCATACTACTGCGTGCTACTGAGGATATCCTATTTTCTGCATATGCTGTTTTTGTAATTCATCCGTTTTCAAAACTTTAACCACTCCAAATATGGGCCCAACCATTTCTCGGCGTAAGCTTCAGTCAACTCATTTGTGGGCTACTACGATGGGCACATCATCAATCAGCAAAACATCGGTGGGAATAAAACCATTTAAGAACTTCATACCAGATTTTCAAACAGAAACAATGTTGATACAATATATAACTTTTTATCTACTGTCTATTATTTTTTCGTGCTAGGATATTATGCGAAATACAACCAAAAAGATGCTGAGATATTTGCAAAATTCAGACCCCTTGCTAGATTCGAACCAGCGATTACGTTTTGCAATATCTCATGTGCTCACGTGTAGCTGCGGGTTGGTTTCTGGCTTATCCTGCCATGAAAAAATGATAGTTGGGAAATAGAAAAACTAAATATTGTGATTTCGATCGCAGCCTCAGTTTAACTGGGCTCAATGTTGATTTCTGCTTCTCAGACCATTCCTGATGACGGATGACTGCTGATGGCACGTTTGGGTGAGAAACTGGCTGAGAGAAAGGCAAAACATGCCTCAGTAGCGCAATGGGTAGAATGCCAGGCCCTGGTAAGGGTGATCGCAGGTTTGATTCGGGTTTAGGTTTGAGTTTAGCAACTATCCCAGCATTCTTAACTCTTTTATTTACTGCCTTTTTCTTCTTAATGGCAGGGTATGTCGTGAAATATAACTCGTATGAAGTGCTGAGATATCTGCAAAACTCCGGACCATAGGTGTATGCAGTGGAGAACGAACACGCGCTGTTGTCCTTACCGGGGAGCAGCGCACTTCACCACTACACCATCCGGGTCCTTCGCTTTGCATGTATCTGCATCTTTATCTGCATGTATCTGTATGTTTATTTACTGCATGTAGGCAGTAAATAAAAGAGTTAAGATTGTGATTATAACGAGGCCTCAGCTTAACTGGGTTCAATGCCGATATTGGCTCCCCAGATCAATCCCGTTGACGGGTGATTGCTGATGGCAAAAAGATCGATAGAACTAGCTGAGATACATGCAAAGCGAAGGACCGGGATGGTGTAGTGGTGAAGTGCGCTGCTCCCCGGTACGGACAACAGCGCGTGTTCGTTCTCCACTGCATACACCTGTGGTCCGGAGTTTTGCAGATATCTCAGCACTTCATACGAGTTATATCCCAGCATTATTGTGATGATACTGACACATGCGCATCTCTTAGTACGATGTTAGTCCATCCGCTTTAACTCATCACGGTTTCGATTTCAGTGCTGGTCCTCTGAATCGGGAGACTACTGGTGATTGATGACAAGATGAGTACTGACCTTATGGTACATTTTGGGCGAGGATAGAGCAGTGATATCATGGCATTCAAAGCGCGAAAGTCATTGGTTTGACCAAACTTCGGACTAATTGTGTCCCCAATCCCTCCATGGAGGTAAATTGGTGCTAGACTGGTTCGGTATAAACTGACTTCCTCCAACACAGGAGAGCCTCGAGAGCTCTAGCAATTAACCCCTAAGAAGAAGCAGGAGCGTTCTAATACGCCTATCCCAAATTTTCAAGAGGATTCGGATACCGCTCAACGACGTTCAGGAGACCAAAATTCTTATAGGATCGGCAAAAAACACACGTAGCACCCAAAGAATTCGGGGAATACTGATGAGAGGAAAAGAATCGAAGGCAAGAATTAATGAAAGTATTCGATTTCAGAACCACCTCCTACGCTATTGATTCGTTGTTTTCCGAACGTGCAAAACGAAACCACTTTTATTTCAGGACCTCGAATTTTCCTTCTTTTTTGTATTCTCACGTTTGTTAAAAGATTTGTAACTTTTATTCAATCAGTCGGCTAGGCGTAAGACGTTATGATGGCGTTATATGTCGTCAAGCATTCAATAAAATGGGTTGCTGGCAAATACAAATATCTGGTGACAAACGAATACGCGATTTCCTGAGAATTTACCACATTCAAGTAAACATTTAGCCTTGCTGATGTCGTATTGAACTACAGTGTTGAGCAACTGGAGAACACCCAGAAGCATTTGAGCTCATTTACGAAACTCATGCTTCCTGCCAGTCAGTTTTACAACTCCCTTGGCTTTCTGCGGTCTACCTGAAATGTTTACTTCTTTTTTCATTTTTTCTTGTGCTGTGACTCAAACTTTTTCACTGAACGATTTCAGTACTTCGACAAAAAGTTGCAGCTTTATGATTTCATCATGTGGTAGTGCAAACTCTTACTGATCCGAGTTGTAGGCTAACAGTCTTGTTCATGGTTAGATCGCTTGCCCGTCTCGTCGTTTTCTTCATGCTTGCAGAGATCTTGGAACAGCTGCCAATATTTTGCAGTATTGGGCCAACAATAATATCTTTGGCTTAATAACCGTATCTATTGGCCATAGCGCATGCGGTGAAGTGGTCGGAGACGCTCTGCAATACAAATGGGATCGATCTCCTCGCCCCAGGCTCACCACGCAAGCCATCCTGGTCGGCAATTTGGTACCAGACTTGTCTGGGGAAGAGGATAACAGCATTGGCGCGATACATCGGTAGGCCACCACAAGTCATTGTAAAGGCCAGATATGAATCCAGTTATCTCCAACGATGCTTAATGAAGTCGAATGTATGTCGCATCCCTCAAAGATAGATCAACACCGGGAGCTTTATTCTTTTTTATCCTCTGTTGGCCGGATTTCTCTGTGAACTCACATAGGAGTCGCTGTTGCTTCCGACTCAGATCCAATTAATTTAATCAGTCTTCTTCATTAATTACACTTCTAGCTTCACCTTGGTCTTTTCCGAGGCGACACGACTGAATTTTGCTTCTTTCTAGCATTCAGTTGTTACTCATTGCTTCATATGTTCCGTAAATACTTCGACACAGGCTCATATAACTTTTCTCATTGCTTTACTATAATCATCTTTGATTCTTCCAATACAGCCTGGCTCTTAAGCCGACTAATTGCAAAGCCAGAAGGAGTTTTACCTTAGTGGTCCACTAGGAACAAAAGTTTTACAAATATCTCAGCACCATTAGGGTTGTATTTCACATTATATCCTGCCGTAAAAAAGTGTATTAGGCAGTAATTAAAGGGTTAACATTGTGAAAATGGGGCATTTATTGCTAAAGCCTTTGTTTCATGTGTTTTTTCCAGAACATAAGTGCACATGCTTCTACAAGTATGATGAACCCCGCCTATTCTTTATCGTTACTTCTTACAGAGTTTGATTTGCTTAATATTTCTGTTTCAAATGTTGAAACAAATAATGTCCGGTAAATCAATTTGTCACTTTGATGTCCTGATCCTTGACGAAACCAGCCTGTGTTCAAAACACTCACGAAAACAACCCGATATCACGTGATAGGAAAAGGTTCTGTGTGGAGTCCATGAGTGTTCTCACCTTCGACATGACACTTTACCTACACTTTATGATCTTCAACGATACGTAATTTCGAAAGTACAATAACATGCGCTTGTTCTCAAACTGTATATGAGAATTGCTACTCAATTTTAACCTCGCTGTCGCATCCCTAAACAGCTCGATAAACCGTCTTCATATGACGCTTGAATCCCAGCATTTCCACTCATTCAGCTGTCTTGCCACCGTCATCCAGCGATGTGGTCGAATCAGTTAGTCCTTTTGGAATAAAACATTTAATCCACTCTTTTTGTAGCGCCATAGGGTTGATTCAATGTATTTTGGTTTCCACAATGACTTTCGTAAAACCGCTGTTGCATCAAGACAGTGTTTCATTCTTTTAGACAAATGTGCTTGCGATTTGTCCATCCCTTAAGAATGATGG